TGGGGAAAGCTATTGCAGTAACTCAGTATGCTATTAGACAGCATCTCTTAGTAATTTAGAATCTGACTTAAATGCTGACTGACTGTAAGCCAGGTAATTAAAAAAGTGTCTGAATTTTTGTATGGTACAGAGAACATGGGAAGAGAGTAGCTGTGTGCCATTGTGTTTGATCACACTACTGAAACAGTTACCAGCAGAGCACTGCTTATAGGCTTTCTGCAAGGGAGATTTTTTTAAATTCCTCCATGGTGTTGAATTTATTCCTATCATCTACCTCACTTTTAAAGTGCTCCTTGACAGTAAAAGTTTTGTATTTGTGCTTAACTACTAAGAAATGGACATAACATTTATATTGTGGGAAAACTATTTTACAGGGTGACTGTGCCCTACTTAAATCCCCATTCCCTATTTTTTAGGGTCCAGATCCCTGAAAAGATCAAATATATATATAGAGGGGTGTCTAGGGATAATTCTTATAGTCTTTGCAGGGAGAGGAGTGATGTCTGATGGCTGCACTATAAACATGGGAAGAAAAAAGTTTTCAGTAATGGGAAGTATGCACAGGCTGGAAGCTGGAGACCCCTGCTTTAACTAGTATAAAAGAAAAAACAATTACTACTAGAAGTTGGACTGATTCAGTCCAGTGCACTCCATGACCAAAGCAACTGAATTTCTCCTCTATACCCCATAAAACATTACTGAAAGCAACCCTCACCCAGTAGACCAGCAAAGAATTTTCCCCAAGAAATCTATTTAATTTCTCAAAGGGGGATGATGGTGGTTTTGGCAGAGACATTCAAATAGTTTGCTAGTACTTGAATAGTGTGAAAAAACCTACAATCTGAAGATCAGTGCTGCCCCTTTTGGCTCTTGTGAGGACATGTGTGTATAAAGTATTTCTTCAAATCAACAGTTTATCTTCTTAGCACCTCTGTATGTGGATTTGCTAAACCGAACTGTCCTAATACAATCTAACCTAGCATAAGCCACTTGCTGTTACTAACTAGCTGGAGCTACCTAATGTTTTGGGGGAAGAGTCAGTGGTGCTTTTTTCTAACACCTTTAGCAGCAAAGAGGCTCTTGAAAAGATAAATACTGAAAGGTAAATGTTTGTCAGCTGATGGATTTAGCAAGCACATAATCCTTCCTTTGATGTCCATAGAGTTCAGTACCGCCAGCATTTAGCAGTAGATACATTACAAGTTTTTCTTGCTGTAGAAACAGTGGTAAAATTTATTATAGAATCACCATACAGGAATGCTTGTAAAGATATCAGTATAACTCTTCTCCCCCCGCCCTTTTTTTTTGGGGGGGGGGGGGCCAAAGAGGGTTACCTCTTTAGGTTACAAACAGTATGTTTTTAAATATAGTTAGGCACCAGATACTTAGCTGGGGTAAGTCTCCATAGCTCAATGGAGCTGAATTACACCCTCTGATCATCTGGCCTGGTATTTATAGTAATACAGTTATAAACACTAATTACTGGAGTCATAGGACATGTCTATGACAGGTCTCCTAGTGTAATTTAGAACATGTAACATTCATATTAGCTGTCTTCCTGCAATGCAGGAATAAAGTTATTGCTATTACCATGAGGCACAGTGGTGCATATAGCTATGAGACCTATAGTTTCATCTTGCTTTGATGCTATAACCCTTAGAATATTATTCAAAAGGAACAAAATCATTTGTTGGAAAGATATAAAGTGAAAATAAGCTCCCCCATTAAAAACATTACTAAGGCCATTGAAAACAGTTAATTATAATCAGCTTATATCACTATGTACCTCTACTAAAAAATCCCAATTCTCTATACAAGAGTGAGGAGACTTTTCTACCTTAGGAAACCTCATATGTTCAAAAACAGTATCACAATCTCTACTAGATATGGTTTCAGACAGAAATTACACCTTTTCATAGGCACATCATTTTGCTTTAGGGCTCTGCTCCTGTTCCTGC